TTTAATGTTGTATTTTGATGGACTTAAGTTGACCCAGTACACTCATTATTTCGTCAATACTGGATATTCTTTGGTTATAACAAAAGATTAACCTGAGCTCCTTCAATAATTCAGTATCCTCCCAAGATATTTATTTTTAAGAGTTGTGTCCTGAAGCACAGGGTAGATCAGAGCAATGTACTTAAGAAAAATTCTAAAAACATATCATAGGCTCTCTTTCCCAACCTTGTCTACTCAGGACATACACCCTAAATTTCATTCCTAATCAAAAACCATGCTTTACTTTGATATAAATGAGATGCTACCTGCTATAATCACAAGTACAAACCTCAACTGTAATAGAAGAGGACCTCTGTTTTTTTTAATTGGGGAATTGGGGAAGGGGACCAGCCAAGTTGTTGTTCTTCAATCTTAGTTGTGGAGGGCACCAGTCGCCATCTGGCTGCCCGTCAGCAGCTCATGGACTCTAAGCTCAAGGTGCTGTGTTCAATCTTAGTTGTGGGTGGGCATAGCCCACCATTGAACAGGCAGTCTTGTTGGGAACAAATGCTTTCACCAGCTGAGCCATCTTGGGTGCAGTGTCACTGGCCCATGTGGGAATCGAACCAGCGGTTGTTGTTCACAGCTCTCGCTCTTAACCTTATTCTTAACCAACTGAGCCACTCGGCCAGCCCCCTCTGCATTTCTAATCTGCATACTAAACCCTTGGCCTTTATGTTTTCACTCAGATTGTTTTTTCCCAAAAATATCATTTGTATTTGACTCATTAGGCAAGTCAAGCACCAGAAAATGGTTCCATGTCACATAGGGAGTTTCTAACAGAGCTAAGGCTAGAATACCTATCTGAATTCAAGACTTTTTATAGTATCGCACATAATCAACAACCCATTTCAAATGCTACGGCACTGTTAATACTTCTGTAATAGCTCATGCAAATAAACGTTAGATTTAAATAAGTGGATTGTATTTAAAAGCTAATGAGAAGGATCCTGTAGGGAGAGGTTTAAATTACAAGAGGGAGGATAATCTCAGAAGAAAGTGGGGAGAGGGAGACAGGGACCTGAGATAGGAATATCTCCTCCACTGAAATAGGAGCGAAGGATGAATGCAGACAAGCTACTTTCTCTGTCAGGAAGAAAGGTGATCTGCTGAGAGCCTGTGAGAGTCTTTATAATAAGTACCTAAGGACAGTGGAGAGTGAAAATCCAAAATAACCTAAATGAAGAATGACATGAGAACTAAGAATACAAAAGAACTTCCTGGTAGTGTTGGCGATTCAGCTGTGGTTGCAAAGCAATTTATAGTGGCAATCAGCACAGGTAAGCATTTTTCTCCAATAGCATTTAGCAGCCCAGAAGTTAATGGTAGCCTAAATTAGCCCCGAGTTAGTGTTTTACCAGGTTTCTGTGATGGAAAGACTAGGGGGCAAGTTCGTTGAAAATGATAGTTGCTCATGTCTTTATCAGTATAGCTTTAACATTATTTTGAAAGGAAAATTTCATGAGTTGGCAATTTCTTAGTACATGAGTACTTAGTACTCATGAGTACTTAGTATAACCTAACAATCCTGAGTACTTAGTACATGAGTAT